GTGTAATTTTCCATTTAGGTGTCATGCTTTGCACCAAATGTATACGTCAAATTTATATTCCTTGTATATTAGGAGGGATAAATTCTTTTAAAAATCAAGAAACAAAGCGAAGAAAGATGTTTAAAACCTAAAAAAATTGTCCATATTCTCAAAATTGGTATCCAATGGGAAAATGTTTTTCATTGGACGTCATTATTTTACAATTCGAAATTGTTGAAAAAATAAAAGGAAGAAGAAAAAGAAGCTACATCGACAAAGTTGTTAATTTTTTTTATAAAAATTTAACAAATGAAATGACGTTATAGATAATAAAGAAAATCTGTATTGCTGTATGATTGGTGGGCTTAGCTTCTCTACTCAACTACGTTGAATGGGCATGCAAATTAACTCTCCATTTGCAAAGCAACAATACAATAAAGAAGACGCTGAAACATCAAACGTATTCAAACTGTAAAGAAAACAGTGTCTTATCCTACGAGGAAAATTGTTAGTTATACGAGTTGTGTTTCTTCTCGCGTAAACATAAGATTAGGTTCCGACTTTATAAGAGAGAGAATAATACGGTTTCAATATACAAAATAATTGCTCTTGTATATATATATAATTATTTATATAAAAAATTGTACTCTTCTCTCCTACATAAATATAAGATTCTTTGTCTACCATAAAAATTTTAATGGATCTCATCTTTCTGCAAATAAATAAAAATAAAAAATACAACTCTCATACATGCATCTTTCTTCTTTACACGAACACAATTATACCTAAGGCAGTAATATTAATTAACTAAAAATATTAACGACTCTCTTAATTAGATGTTCAGATTCTTTATTTTCCTTGATAAGAAAATTACTTTTACTTTTCTCAGATTGTATTATTGAGTAATGATGTAAAGCTACATAATATTAATTTAAAAAAGATATAAAAAATAAAAGAAAAAAACCACAAAATTTATATCCCTGCCAGTTAGAGTGCATCAAAACTAGTACGACTGCATCGTGGCAGGGAAAAAATGAACGAAATGAATTATTAACGACCAAAACAGAAATATTTTGAATGCACTCATATAATTTTAGAATACTGCGATAAATAGCAAGAAATTTATGTCCATTCAGGGACGGAACAAGAAATTTAGAATTAGGGGCCGAATAAAGAAATAGTGCTTGATTTTTGGAGCTGCAAAATATACAAAATTGAAATGTATAAATTAACATCTATAAACCAAAAAACTTATAATCCACGACGGTTTTTTACAATAAAAGATCATAAATTTAAATTCCAACGAGCTAATTTTATTAGAAACCTTAAACATATAAGCAAAAAAAAAAAAAAAAACAATTACAACGTGAAAATTTTCAAAATTCGGGAGTGTCATGGCCTCCAACCAAGGTCAGGTACGTAGTTCTGCCCTGTTTCCGTTATTATAGAGATTTACGTTCTTTCTTTTTAATTTCAAAATAGCACCTTGCACCATGACATTGTTACTTTTTGGATGAATTAAAATATTGGTCGATTTAAAATTCTAAGAATTATAGGGATGTAAACGCTGAGTTTAGTCTGATATTATAATTTAAATTGTTGAGATTTAAATGCAAATCAAAATCAAATTTATGACGACCAAGTTAAAGAATATATGAGATCAATATATATGCTAGCTTTATGCACGAAATTAAACTTATCAGTAGATATAAAAGATTAAAACTAGTTCGCATTTATGCAAGACTAGCCATTTAAAATTTTTATATTAATTCTCAAAATATATTTACGCACATTTATATGTTAGGAATCAATTAATGTTTTTTTATTTTATTTTAATCTTTTTGTTGCATGTTTGTAATTGTTATTTATAAAAAAAAAACAGCATGCTTACTATTCATCAAAATTAACTAGTAAAAGAGATACTCGACGTTCTTAAATACTTTAAATAGGGTGTCAAATTGTTCTAAATTTTATCTCAAAGGGATTGAATCTTAAGGCCATGGTTGGTCAAATCTAGTTTTTTTCCACCAATTAATTAATAATTAAGCTCAAACAAGTATTAATGAATACAAATATAGCTAAGCTTGATCTTTAAATTTTACGACATGATCGAGATATAAATATATTAACCTGTAACAAAAAACTACTAAAGCAATCATGGTTTTTCTTTGTACTAGTTTTTAAAAGACTTTGAGATTCCATTACTTTTGTTTTAGCTGCTGGCGGTAGCTTTTTTTCCTTCTTCTTTTTTCACTACTTTTATTTCAATAATCTCAGATTGATGTTTTATGTCTTTAAATTTGACGTTTTTCATTCTGTAACATTTAATTTATCTAATTTTTTCCTATGAAATTTTCAATAAAGGTGCATTCCGTGGATATAGATAGATAGGAGACAATTTGATGGACAATGATGCATAACAAAGGAAAATAGGTCTCCAAGATATTGCCGCTATATATATACGCGACTCTTTTTTCTTGAACCGTATAATTGTTTTGCTCTAATTTTTTATTTTTTTTGGAGTCTAATCCTTCTTTTGTCTTAGATATCATTTCAACCTACAAAACTCACTTCATAATATTGCAATTTCTTATCAAAGAAATATCTTATATTTGCAAAAAAATAAAAAAATTACGTTATTTCTAAAAAAAATCGAGAAACATATTTTTATCAATGAAATATCTTATATTTGGTAAAAAAAAAAAAGGTTAAGAAACATAAAAAAATAAAGCAGGGATAACTGGAATTCGTGTACTGCTTCCAAATGAAGAAGAAAAAAGTGTCACAAGTTTGACCACCCGCCCCAATATTCGACAATCTGAACTCAAGCCAGCCAATCGATTTTGTCCAATATTCGTGACCCAAAAAGAGATTCTGAAAAATAAAACGATTTTGCACACGCGTCAAGTAAATTTTCACAAATTCACGTTTTTAACATTTAAATTCATTTTTCAAGGACCCTCTCCGGCTGTCCCCTTTTATTCAGCCACGTAAAAAAGACCATGATTATACAACAAAATCAGAGTAAGTAAAGTTCCTCATCTCTTACTGCACGAACACAATTCCATCCACTTACTACTCGACGTGTGACGAATAAAATCTCGAACTCCTGTTTCTGTACCACAGATTTCACAGACTATCGTGTCGCTGCACCAGTGGATAATTTCTCATCCTGTTAAAAGAAATACTAAGCGCTCTCTATCCATCTCAGAATTTAAACACCGCACGAATCTCTAGGCCCACTAAATTATGAGGGAGTTTCCAAAACTGTATCAAGCCTGTGACCTAAACCACCACCACCAATATTTTACCTTGATTTTTTTTTTTAAGCTAAGATATTTTGAAGATTAATTTTCATAAATTTTCCGATTGAGTTCCAAACATACCTGTTTCGTTACTCTTGCTTTAGAATTTGCGTGAATTTTTCTCACTACAACATCATTTTCATTTTGAATTGCATTTGAAATGATAATTCGAGAAACAAAGCTGCTTGCTATATGGTTTTCTCGTTGCCTGTAAGCGTAATAACTGTTTCCATGGCTCAATCATAGCAGACCAAGTCCTTTCTGGTCATTTCATAATTCAAATTTAAAATTAACCGGCCTCCAAGAAAATGCCAGCGTGGCATTTCGAGAGAGGGGGGGGTGGAGGGAGGGGGAGACATATCCGAATAATAATAATCTATCTAATCTAATCCTATACAGTGCATAGACAGAAAGAAGACCTCTCTCTCTTCCTTTTACTTACAACGGATTTACTAACAACGGATTATAGTACTTTTTTAATTAACGGCGTTAGAATCAAGTCTTAACGGTTTCTCAACCCCATCTCTCTCTTTCTCTCACATGATCTCGTGTTTGTAGGAACCTGGTCTAGTTTTGGCAAACCACCGTCTTTTCTCAAAATTTTCCCATTTTTTCACCGTGAAGGATAAAAAAAAGAACAACCACACCAATTTTCTCTCTTTCTGGCGAGAGGTCTCAATCTCGCCGGAGAATCTGTTTTTGGCCACCGGAGAATCTGTTTCTTAGCTGAAGAGAGAGAAAATCCGTAATCGAAAAAAAAAAATGAAGAAGTAAAATATAGGAGGAGGTTAACGTGCAATGCAGGGAAATTAAAAGAGAATCAAGGAACGAAGGCAGCGTTTGGTTGGAGGATCTTACACGGCAAAGATGCTATGCTACTAATAAGATGTTACCTTCTTCCTTCAATTTCCCTTTCCTTTAGCCGTAATTTATTCGATCTCTCTCTCTTTATAATTCTCGCTGTTTAAATTCTCTTCTCTTCCTTTCTCCGCTTTGTATTTCTCTCCCTCCCTCCCTCCCTCCCTCCCTCCCTCCCTCTCTCTCTGAGAATTGGAGTCTGTTTTTTCTGTTTAATAATCGAGGTCTCTTTGTTTGTTACATTTTGTACCCCAAGACGTGTTTTTGTAATTTTGATACTCTGATCGGTTATTTTTTGGAGTCCAAAAATGTTATAGGTAACTCAATTTTGCTAATTCAGGATAATTTTAAGCTGTTTTGGATCTTATTGAAAATTGCACCTGCAAATTTTGCAATTTAATTAACAATTCCGTGTTTCATTTTAATTACCGTTTTAATTTATTTTTTTTAAAAAGTTTGGTTGGTGTGAATCATGAGAGATTATTATTGTAGTTATTATTAGTATCCAATGAAGGAATAATTTATTTTGTTTTTGTTGTTTTTTAACTTGCCATAATTTCTTACTTTCCAATTAAGATCTTAAACAGAAACAACTTGCAGATTTTGCTATTAATGAAATTAATTATTCGTAATCCTTATCATTCTTACCTGTGCTTTTATTAAGTATCCAAGTTTTGCCTACTTTGCTATCCATAACTTTCCTAATTTTTGCCTTGCAGAGTTATCATACAAGAAATCAGAGATTTTTTTTACAGAAGTGTTAATGCAACAGTGGGCCGCCCAGATTGAATTTTTTTTGTGGGTGGGGGGCTTTATATAGTCTTGTTTTAGATACAAATCATAATGCCATCTGAAATAATGGACTTACAGGGTTTGTCCTCATCATCATTTTTCTCTGAGGATGTTTCTTTTCCCAGTGAGGTACAACTGCTGCATTTCTGTGTTTCATCCTTAGTTTAATAATGTGTCGGCTTTATCATTTCTGATTCTGCTTCATGAGTAGGTTATTTTTTTGTAAGGGTTAATTTATTTCTGTGGATTGTAATGCTTTTTTTTTTTGATATGGTTTTTCTTTGAATTGTTATTGATTGGTTTGGTTTTCTACCCCTGGCAGAGGCAGGTGGGGTTTTGGAAGTCAGAAACGATGCCTGATCAACATGTTCAGAATATTCGAGATACATGTAGGTTTTATGGTTTTTGATTCATCAAACGGACTGCTGTTACATGGATCTTTTTTGTTACCTTTAGATCTTTTTGATTGAGAACTTGGAATTGTTTGTACAGTAGCTAAACAGTATGTTGGTCGATTCCTGGGACGTAACCAGTGTTTCTATACAGTCAGCCACTTTAAAACTCTTTATCTTTCTTCCTAAACTGGGATCTAATCATTTCTAGATTCTCGCTTTTACGTTGATCGTGTTGTTTGGCTTAGAAAGTTGGTTATAACTTTCTGTATGTCAGATCCCTAATAAATCCTGTGTACATTAAGTAATTTATTAAGTATCTTAAATTGGGAAATGAAGAATTAGCTGCATGAGATGATGTAAACTGCTATTAATGAGGTCTATAGAATGATGTATTCTGGCGTTATTGAGAAAGTAAAGGTTTAATTTTGTGGATATGGATTGATTGACTTGCTATTCTTTCTAGCATGTTAAAGATATTAGCATTGGTTAACAAATATTTAATCGCAATCATCATTTTTGTCACGTGCCTTTAATAGTCTTTTTGAAAATACTTTGTCAACAAAGCTGGATCTAGAATTATCAATTTTTTCTGGAAGCATGTGCTAAATAATTTAGTGAGTGAGTTTCAGAAGAAATAAAGAATCAGGAGGAAACGTAAATTGGATACTTTCATGATTCCTTTCACTTGAATAGTCCTCGTAAGTGTTTTTCAATAGAAGCACAATAGAGTCCATGTACTCGGTTTTGATTGGTATTGGTGGGGCTGGTGCCAAATTGAAAATAATTTGTCAACAAAGCTGGATCTAGAATTATCGATTTCTCTGGAAGCATGTACTAAATAATTTAGCGAGTGAGTTTCAGGAGAAATAAAGAGTCAGGAGGAAACGTAAATTGGATACTTCCATGATTCCTTTCACTTGAATTTTCCTATTAAGTGTTTTTCAATAGAAGCACAATCGAGTCCATGTACTCAGTTTTGATTGGTATTGTTGGGGCTGGTGCCAAATTGAAGTTTGATCTGAATTTTATAATGGACTCTACCATGGAATTAATTATTGTTTTCTGAATTGAGTAGCAAACTAGTTTTTTTATTGCATGATCAATTTGTGAAATGATGTCATAGCTGGGTGAGTATAGCACTTCTATTATGGTAAGTGAGGTTTTTTATGGAGTAGAAACTAATATGATTTGTTGAACAGCGGTTGGGAAATCAGCTGTTTTATCACCCCCAGAGAAACTTGTAGCTGTGGAGCCGGTTAAATCGCTTGAACAGCCTCAGCCTTCCCTTATGCGTGACCATAAAATGAATCATAGCTTAGATAGGCATGCAGTGGGAGCAGAGAGAGCATTAAGTAGGTCCTTCACTTTATTGAGAGCCGTGGACAATGATCCTGGTACAAGGACTAGTTTGAATGAGCAGCCGGCATCTTATTTTGCAGAAGGTGGCAAAGTGATGGCAACTCAGCATGAGAATAGTCTCTTCTCAAGCTCGTTATCGGAATTATTCAGTAGGAAGTGTAAGTTTCTTCTCTGTGTTGGCTTGTTTTTGCACATTTTGTCCGCAAATGCTGTTTAAATTTAAATTATGTGCCACATGCCAGCCTGTATGATATCCATATTTGGTTTCTAACATGTAGTTTCATTTTGGGATACTGCATACTGATCTACTGCTTCATGTTCTTGCTGCAGTGAGATTATCTTCAACCAATCCTCTATATGGCCATTCTGTTGATACCATTGCCTCTCATTTTGAGGAAGAGGAACCTTTTGAGTCCCTTGAAGAAATTGAGGCCCAAACCATTGGAAACCTTCTCCCCAATGATGATGACTTGTTTACCGGAGTGACCGATAGGATAGAAAATATCAACCATCCCAATGGTGGAGATGATATGGAGGAGTTGGACTTTTTCAGCAGCGTTGGAGGGATGGATTTGGGGGATGATGGTTCTGTGGGCCAGATTGATTCTGAGTTTTCTGGAGGAGCTTCCAATGGTCAGCTGGGGGCTTGCAATCTTTCAATGGCGGGAGAACACCCTTATGGTGAACACCCTTCAAGAACACTCTTTGTGAGAAATATAAATAGCAGTGTCGAAGAGTCTGAGTTAAGGGCTGTATTTGAGGTATGTGTTTGACATGGTGTTTTAGTTTGTGGCTCATGCTTGCTATTTACTTGAGCTCTTTGTCTTCAATGAATGGTTCACCCACTGTTATTATTTTGTATGCTGAATGTGCAGCAATATGGTGATATTCGTACACTTTATACGGCTTGCAAGCATCGTGGTTTTGTTATGATATCCTATTATGATATTAGAGCAGCCAGAAATGCGATGAAAGCACTACAAAATAGGCCATTGAGACGTAGGAAACTTGACATTCATTACTCAATTCCAAAGGTGGATTTCGTTGCCTTTTCTAGTTTAATGATTGTGCTATTATTAGTCCATCATTGCTTTAGTTTACCAGAATGGCAGTCCCATTGTTAGGACTTTTATTCTTTTCATACTTTCTATATTTGTGTACATGCATGAATCTTGTTACATGACTCGTTTTGTTGCTGATTACTTGTATCAGGACAATCCTTCAGAGAAAGATTTTAACCAGGGCACTCTTGTTGTATTCAACCTTGATTCTTCTGTTTCGAATGACGAGCTTCATCGGCTCTTTGGTGTCTATGGAGAGATCAAGGAGGTGAGATGGTTGATGATTTTCATATTGTTGTCAACAAAACTCTACAACCCAGGCATGAAACCATGTTGCTCTTGCATTGCAGATTCGTGAAACCCCAAACAGAAATAATCACAAATTTGTTGAATTTTATGACGTGAGAGCTGCCGAGGCTGCTCTTCATGCATTGCAAAAGAGTGATATTGCTGGGAAGCGGATTAAGCTTGAGGCAAGTCGTCCAGGGGGTTTAAGACGGTGGGTCTTTTTCCAAGCATACTAGCTCTTCATTTATTTCTTTATGTTTCTTTTGATTAACTATCCAATTTAAGTGGTTGAGTTGCAGAAATATTTCCTCTCTTTCCATGTTTGGCTGGGATAAAATAGGCAAACATTAGTTTTAAGGAGACAGAATCAATGGTTTTCCCTGTTTGCTTTCACATTTTTGTATTTATACTACCTTGGCAAGATAAAAATGCAAGACCTACTCCTTGTTCACTGTTTGTTATTTTTTGTTGCCAATATTCAACTCGTAGCTCGCTTATCATTTCTACTGAATTAACCTAGACTTTTCTTTGGATCTGTTGCTAAACTCTAGGTTTATTTTGGTTTTCGGCATGCAGTTTATTGCAACAGATTCCTCCTGAGCTGGAACAAGATGAGTTTGGGCCTTTTGTGCAGCAGAGTAGCCCTCCCAATAACTCAACTACTGGATTCTCTGGTATGATTGTTGGAAATGTGATATACTGCTCATTAAATAAAAATTCATGTCTCTCATGAAGAATTGTTAACAGGAACAATTATATCCTGTGGCATGGATAATGGTCCTATTTTGGGCGCACCCTCTGCAATACAAGCCCCATTTCTGGAATCTGCATTGCATCAGGGAATCTCTTCTAGTGTTCCTAACAACTTGTCCTCACTTTTGAGAGTTGAATCAGCTGGCAATCAAACTGGCTTTGCTGAGCGCAGTCACTCACCAGGTCAATTGAAATTTGAAATTCAGGGCACTCCAAATTTTCATCCTCATTCACTTCCAGAGTATGATGGCCTAAATAGTGGTGTTCACTGCAATTCTCCTGGAGCAATGGCAGCAAACATCAATGCTAGGCCACTTGAAAGAATTGATACACGGCAGTTAGCCAGAATTAGCCCAAATGGAAACCCAATTGAATTCAACGAAGGAGGTAAGTGCAATGGATATCTTGGTGAAGTTGTCTTTCATTCGTGTTTTGGTTTTCTGACTCCACATAGCTGGTGGAGCCCAGTGGTGCTACTAACATTACTGAAAGTTTTTGGTGGTTTGACTCACAAAAGCTGAGTTTTCATACTACCCTATCTTGTCCATGGATCTACCGGGATTTCTGGATCTAGGTTAATAGGTTTCATTGCATGCATTTGATTTGCTAGTTTCACATGCAGACAATGAAGTTGGGATGTTAGAAAGATATACATGTTAAACGATTGAGTTTCCGTGCTAAGAATACTGGTTATTATTTGCTACGGTTTTGAATACTCACATAGATTCATTATCTGGCCTTTGCTCCATTTTATCAGTTTTTGGATCTGCCCGAAATGGGAGCTGCTCTCTACCTGGGCATCACTATACATGGGGTAACTCCTATCATCACCAACCTCCAAGCATGATCTGGCCAAACTCACCATCATTTGTCAATGGAATTTCTGTTGCTCATCCTGGACCACGGTTGCATGGACCTCCTAGAGCACCACCTCCTATGCTGAATCCAGTTTTACCCATCAATAACCAACATGTGGGATCGGCACCAGCTGTTAATCCTTCTCTCTGGGATAGGCAACATGCATATGCGGGGGAATCTCCTGACACTTCTGGTTTCCATCCTGGTTCCCTTGGGAGCATGAGGATTTCCAATAATTCGTTGCACTCCATGGAATTTCTTTCTGCTAACATCTTTCCTCATGCTGGGGGAAACTGTCTGGAACTTCCAATGCCCCCTAAAAATGTTGGGCTCCAATCACAGCAGCAGAGATCCATGGTGTTTCCTGGCAGAGGCCAAATGATTCCCATGATTAATGCATTTGATCCTCCCAGTGAACGTGCTAGAAGCCGTAGAAATGAAGGCAGCATTAGTCAGGCTGACAAGAAACAATATGAGCTTGACATTGATCGCATATTGCGAGGGGATGACAACCGAACAACGCTTATGATAAAGAACATTCCTAACAAGTATGTGGTACTTAACTTCAGTACTGCAATCATATTCTGCTTGGTGTCTGCTATTTATTTATTGCTGGAACTTTGTTTTTGAAGCAGTAACTTGTAGTCAATGAAAGTGTGAATTCTAGGGATGGGAAATGATTTTTATTTATAACAAACTTCACTGGACAAGAAAGATTTGCACTATAACCACATTTCAGTGAAAAGGTTGCCAATGGTTCTTTTTGTGTAGGTTAAGTTAACATTGACAGTGTGGTGTTGATGGCAGGTATACTTCAAAAATGCTTCTGGCTGCAATTGATGAACGCCATAAAGGAACTTACAATTTCATTTACCTGCCAATTGATTTTAAGGCAAGTTCATTTTTATCTTAAAATGATTGCCCTTTTAATTTCAAGGTTAAAGATGAATTCCGGGAAAACAAAAGTTTCTGTTTATGCACTTTCAACCCATATGCAACACCTGACCTTAAACAATTTTTGCAGAACAAATGCAATGTTGGGTATGCATTTATCAACATGATTGATCCCAGTCAAATAATTCCATTCTATCAGGTTTGTGATGTGTAAGCTGTATTGTTGTTATACTGACCACTCCTATTACACTGCCTACCCTAAATTTAAAGGTGAAGGGTTTCTTGCAACAAGATGATAAAGTAGGGGTGCTAGTGTAGTTATAGAAACAAAAAAGGGTGGCGAATGGCAATTTTATCCTAAAGGTTACATGCAAAGACTAAAGCTAAAAAGGAAAGTTAAATTATGGCAGGCATTTAATGGAAAGAAATGGGAGAAGTTCAATAGTGAAAAAGTAGCATCACTTGCTTATGCCCGCATACAAGGCAAAGCAGCTCTCATTGCACATTTCCAGAATTCAAGCTTGATGAATGAGGATAAGCGATGCAGACCCATTCTCTTCAATACTGATGGACCCAATGCAGGTGACCAGGTATGCACATCACAGCATGTCAAGCTATTTGGATTTTAGTTACGTGTTTCCTTATTGACTCAAACATAAAACATAACCTAGAAATGCTACTAAATGTAGGTGGAATTTTGTGCTGAAGAAAATTTTCCATTTATTTTGATGCCCAGAGAATGGGCTTCGGTCTTGATGTAGAACAACTAAATTCTCCTCATTTAACAGTATAGTGTAGAGCAGAATGAAATTAATTTCATGTTGACCCTGTCTTTATTTGCAGGTGCCCTTTCCAATGGGGGTTACTGTAAGAACTAGACTTGGGAAAACCCGAACCATCACCCATGAGGAGAACCAGCAAGGAAGCCCATCAAATCTGGCAGGTGGGGAGGATTCTTCAAATGGGGACGCTTCCTCAGGTTCTGGAAAGGAGTCTGATTAAGCAAGCCACTTGTTTTTGTGGGCACTAACCTCGTAGGACTCAGTAATTTAAAATCGGCACTACCCCACGTCTTCATGATGACGATGGCGTGGCTGATTAAAAGGAGAATTTTTTTTCAGCTTTTGAGAACTTCTTAAACTTTTAGGGGACATAGCCAGACCTAAAGTGATTTTCCAATTTTATTCGGGTTTTCATAAAATTCTGAAATGGGTAGACAAAGAAGCCTCAGGTGGAGCTTCGAAATTTTGGATGTTGTTGAGAGCACTATATATATATATATATATATATATATACACACAACATAGTATGTATAGGAGTTTCTGAGAAATGAAGGGATCTTTTGCCCCCTGGTTCCTGAGGCTTCTGTATTTCCCGGGGTTCTGTTTGTTTTTGAATGTTGGGCTTGTATCCCGTTTGTTTGTTTTTTCGCTGAGATTCGCCCAAGTCAGGGAGCTCTGTTTTGGAAAATTTTGAAGTGGTCAACTATTGATGTGGTGTACCATTATTGCTTATTGATAGAGATGTTGTGCTTGTGCCCGTATCTTTGTGTCTATTCCTTTTCTGGAACCAGACAAGTTCATGACCTCATATGCTACTTATTCGCATGTGATGTGATTTCTAGTTTTTCTATGATTGATTCAATAAAGGGATTCTAATCAGCAAGTATGTAGGGATGGACTGCTTATTGATAGAGATGTTGTGTACCATTATTGCTTATTTATAGACCTATGCTCTTATTTTATTTTATTTTGCGCTACAGATCTCGGAATGATGTGTGAATTTCTTGTGCTATTTGCTGGGAGTCCTGGTTGAGTTGACTCAAGCATGTAATGAATTTGCTTGATAAAGCACCTAAAGCTAAAAGTAGTAAATTTTCTGATTTCACGGCTTCACAGGCTTGATGCTTCGACATGTTTCTAACCGCATTACCATTCCTGGTTGACCGGGTTGAGAACCTATTACCAACAAATAATACTCCTTTTTGTTTTTTAACGTATTGCAAGAAATACTATTCCTTGGATGGGGACAGAAAAACATGAGCGTATGACAGTACAATATTTTAAATAATTGCTCTGACATTGTGATTAAAGGCGTAATCATCAAATGTGTTCTCAAAGCCCCATTTGTGGGCTATATAATACTCCGAAGTAACTAATTAAAAAAAGATATAGCATAATAGTGGGAAAAAGATGCCGAGAATAACTAGAACATTTTCAAGTTGAGTTTTCACGTATTGAATTTTAATGCATGATTTATGTGATAATTAAATCTGACAATTATTATTATAAAATTGAAATACAGAAACAATTAAAAAAACGTGCATTATTTTTTGTAACCTAGCCTATTAGAAATAGATCCTTCTTGAAAAATAAAATGTTTGGCAGCATGAAGTATTTTTTATTGTTGCTAGATCAAACGGAATGGTGCCAGCATAGGAGCATTCTCACACTACTTAGCAATCTGCAAACAGCTTCAGGTGAAACTACTTTACTAGAGATCGATGGATTATAACCTCTAATAAGACCTCAAATTACAGAGAGCCAAAAGTGAGCACCTGAAGCCTATATGACAAATGCGCTACAAAATAGACCTAAGACCATTCCTAACTAATAAGCTGAGACCTGGGCCTCCAACTCAAATTTGCTTATATTTGATTCCTTTAACAAAGTAGCATTAAACAGAAAGAAAATATTTTCCAGAATCACCAGTTTTTTTTCCCTCTTTCAGCAAATGCAATTTCACAAAGATGATTAACTACCAGGTGAGGACATGCTCAATCCTGAACTGGAACAGATGACAGTCCGAAACTTTTCAGGCAACCTTGCATTTAGGTCCCCACACACACAATTCAGAAGCATTTGAACATTTATCACAAGGTACAGCACAAATAGAGATGAGGCTAAGGCCTTTGCCTTGCAACCATGTGTTTCTTGTCATATTCCAAAATCACCTTGGCAGCTTCCATCACCGGGACATCATTAATGGCCTGCAATATACACAAGCTAGACTCAATAACATAAAGATGTCCCATCCACCTGTCCACCCACACACAAGGGTGCAATGTATCATAACCACCAAATGGTTCAGAGCTGCTTACCAGAATGGCAAATGGCATCACTTTGGGTAGAGAATGTCATAGTGACCCGGACGATAAAGCAAGGTAATGAAGGGATTGATGCTCTCAGAATTAGCACTTGGGAGATTGCCAGGAGCAGGAATGAAATCGTGATGATTTACACTGACACCAGCTGCATCACAAGAGCTGCGGTCGAGGTATACAACACGAATTGGCACCCCCAATGCATCTGATAGCGCAGTAATGTGCACATGGTCGCTTTCTTCACCCATAGGTTCCACTGATGACTTGCAAAACTAAGGCAAAACAGATAAATCAATTAGGAACTCCAAGATTTTATGCATTCATTATCAAATTTTCTGAAATACATGAAACTGGATTTCTACCATGATAAATTTGTCACCAAGAAAAGGCATCATAATACTAGTTAAACTTGGTTTGGAATGTAAAACTTCGAAAAAGTTAGCACAACGGACCAAATAAGGAGGGGTGTGGACTCTGGTTTAAGTCGGTGAAAGCTAAAAATTCCTCCTTGTTTTTCGTGTAAGGCACAAAACTAACAATGCATAGAAAATGTTTGAAAGTAACACCAGAAACTGTTGTACACTGGACAAACCTGCTCTACTGTTGTGTTTGTCAATCCAAATATAAAGGGTTCAAAAAACTGGGAGCGTTTTCTTATTTCTCCAGAGGTCACAAACCTGAAAAACATGACAACTAACCAAAAGCCAATTTGTCAGGAGATGGTGGCAAAACATCAATTATACCATCATGCTGACAAGACACTCACCATAGTCTGATACAGACTGATCACGACTCCTATTTAGAAGCTCTTCGTGACTGCAAAGGAAAACAGAATTAATATGTAGAAGCTCAAAAAGTCAATTGACTAGCATTAATAAACACTACCTAATATATTTTGGCCTTAAGTAGCACTACATCAGTTCATGGTTTTAAATAAAAAAGGCAGGAGCTGATGAGTAATTAAGAGAAGTTAAAATTCCGAAGTAAGTTGTATTTTCTAAGCTGTTAAGAGACATAACATAGCAGGGGAAAAGGGCACCTTATTGAAGTTTCATTTCCTTGGAGAACATCATCCAGCTGCTCAAGAAATAACTGCATATTTTTCGCTATGAAATCAGAGTTACAAATTATACACATGAAAGCCTTGAAGGTAGGCATGGTCTAGTAGAAGCTTCTATGAAAAAAGCTTGTTACAACTAAAAAATTTATTGCTTAAAAGTTCAAAGAAAAATTAATCTTCTCACCTCAAGATTAAAGAAAGAAATGAAACGAGATAAAGAACTTTTAGTGGCATCAGCTTTTCAATATACTATTAAAAGCTGGCATCAACTCAACTGAATTCATCTGTGCCTCGCATGTAGAATAAATTTTATTACCGGTCATTCTTTGTTTTCTATAATTTTTATGCGACTTAGCTATTCAAGCTGTGCTTAACATTACTGTCCACATTTCCTAAGAAATAAAATTTCAAGCAAGCAAGGAACTCAAGTAAAATGCACAGAACACAGCTCCCTTGTATCTCAAGGGCTCAACAGTGAAACTATAACTCCAATTCATCAAATCAACATAACTTACAAACACAGGTTTCAAATATCCGAATCTTATTATGAGACTCAGTTTTCTATGAATTCATTTGTACATATGCATTAGTATCGACTTCAGTTCGCTCTAAGAACTAATTCTTCAACAAAGTCTTTGTTGCAGAACTGACACACAGCAAAACATTGAAAGAGTTCAAAAATGTTTAAAAATGAATACACACATCTTGCATAAAATAACAAAATGCACATGATAGATTTACCGCAAAAAAATCCTCAAATGTGAAGTCCACATAACCCAAACTCTGCAGCGTTTTCCTACATTCTTCAACATTCACTTTAATACGCTCAACTTCCGCACGGCCTTGCGTCTCCAAAATATGCTCCTATCTCAAGAAAACCACAGCTCATTTAAACGGGTAAATTACACATAATGTGCTCCATCCAACAACAAGCACAAGGATAGAAACCAAAAATAGTTAAAAAAGACATACTAGGTACGAAAACATAAAGCTCCGAAAGAAGCAATTCCCGTCTCCACGTGTTCGCCTAATTGCAACATACTTGTCACCAAGCACCTACACAAGCAGCAATAACAATCAATCTATGAGTACATTCAAGACAACCATAAAGAAAAAAACAAGAAAACGCGACGATGATAACAACCTTTATTTTCTCAAGCAAAATAGGACTACCAGATTGATATTCAGCTGCTAATGCAGACAAAGGCTCCTGTAGTAAATTCAATCACCCAAAAATATCCTTTAATTAAAATGCAACTGAAAACTAGTCCAGAACAACTTGAATAAAAATATTTTTTTTCAAGAATTGAAAACATGAAGAACATGAATAAGAGAAGAAAAACTACCTTGTCGCCGACAAATGGAACACTTGATTGCTGTTGCATGATATCATCATCTCCTCCTCCAAAATTTGCACAATCTTCGATTTCACATGTCCCCGCTATTTCTCCATCTGCAGTCGACTGTTCTTCTTGATTCTGCATCTTCTTCTGTTTCTTTCTTTTTAACAAACCAAAAGACTTGATTTCTTGACTTGGAAGAGAGGGAGATGAAAGTGCAGTTGACAGTGTTGATAAGTACACCTGAAAATTTAGATTCTGGTCAATAGGGGAAGTTGAAACCCTAAATAATTCTTTCTGCAATCGAATTCCAAATTCCGAAGTGATTAAATTGGATTTTATTTTGGTTTGCTGATCTACAACGAAAGAAACCGATTTCTATCTCAATATTAGTACCTGCTTTTATTTTATTATTACTCCCTAGATTTTATTACGAGGCAAATTCGCAATTTTATTGGTTTTTTTTCCTTCTATATTTTCCCCCCTTTACTTTTACCGTAGGCAATAAGCATGGATTGCATTTGCTTTTGTCATTTATATTTAGGTTGGGGCTTCCCCTGCCCGTGCAAATTATCCCACGAGAACCGTAAATAAAACTGAGAAATAGTAATAATTAAAAATTGAGAAATATTATATTACTTAGGTTAATTACTCATATTTATTTCATATGGTGGGAAATAGACACGAAGAACAATAAATCTAAGATGTAAAATTTGAAAGGGCAAGATTATATAATTTTAATTTGGAAGGCCATTTTGTAGAATTTATTTATAAGCAACATTAGAAAGGATTTTGAAAATTTTAAAAATCTTGGGGGCTCCTCTTAAGTTCATCGGAAGCAGAGAAAGAAAGTGAAAAATATTCATTTTCATGTATAAATGGTGGTTAGCCCTCGATTTTTACTCTATTTTTACAAAAAAAAATTTTTTAAAAAAAATCGAAAATACCAAAAAATACATATTTTATTCGATTTTTTTTTTCAAATTTTAGTCTTTTCTTGAGTTCGTTACTAGTTTTATGAGCATTGAAAAAAAAAATCAAGCATAAAAAAATGAAAAAAAAATAAGAAAAAGAAAATCAAGAAAAAAGAGAAGAAAATTCAGGCATAAAATTAAAGAAAATAAAATACATGAAGACTAATAGAAATCAAATTGAGGGTGTAATTAAAACAAAGAAAGACTAATAATTAAAGTGAAAAAACAAGGAGAGTGTGAGAAATCAAATGTGAATTAAGATCAACCTTAAAAATCTCTTACAAATACTTGTCTTTTGCACATAAAATTGAAGAGTCACCACCCTTCTCTATTTTCTCTTAAAAAAAAAAAATGGGAGAGACAAAAATTCTCAAGGAAGAAGATGGTCGAAATTTTTAAAGAGAAAGAGGCACACGTAATTTAAGAGAGAGAGAGAGAGAGAGAGAGAGAGAGAAGAGAAGAGCGAAAATTTTGAAGAAGAAAAAAAGAGGAGAAGTTGCCACAAAAACAAAAATACATTAGTCAAACGACCCCTTAGCAATATGTCTTGTTTCTCTTCAACCTGTCGGTTTCTTTTTAAAAAAATGCCACTCTTTGACATCCAACACTTTGATCTCCACCACGGACATGTGCATCAACCTTAGATTGACCCTTCCTAACTAATTAGAATAGGGGAAAACAATGGAGTAGGAATGGAATAGACTGGAGTTGTGGACGAAAGGCTTGCGATCGGTTTCTATCCTATCTAGAACTTTCGCATTTTCACGGCAAATCAACCTTTGTAACCTCCAAAATCAAGTCCTAATATGTCTTAGGAGTCAATTGAGACAAATTTATAGCCTTAAAAGCCAATAAATTTGACCAGTTTTCATCGAGAGAATAAGAAAGAGAATAGCTAGATTTTATCACCATCGATCTCCCTTTTATAGACAACGGTGACCAACATAGCCACCATTGGTAGGATGAGGAGGGAAAGACAAATCCATCTTGACATTTCACACACCAAACAATGGTCGAAGGAGTTACCAACGAGGACTAAAAGATCTAACGCTATTAGGGACAATGTTATCACTTTGACACTAAGAGTAAATCTATCATTTTTAACACGAAATATAGTTTGGTCATTTCCAACATTAGAGGAATTTTGGTTATTTTCAATGACCACTCTTTTTTTTTTCATACCCCTTTTTGTCATTTTATGTCAAATGTGAAAAATACTATATTGTAATATTATAATGTGTATTGAAGCATTGTATCACCAATCAAGGTGATATTCCGGGGTACGATGTCGTTAAAAAATTTATTATAAGAGTATAAAAAATATGGTAAAACTCTAAAAAAGAGTGAGAGTTTTGACATCGAAGATGGTTACCAATATTACCCTATATCTAGGGTAAAGTCACATGTTTTGACCTTAAAGATGGTTACTCGTACTATCCTATGTTTAGGGGAAGGTCATTTGTTCCGAATTTGAGAATGGTTGCTCATACTAGTCTATGTTAGGGAAAAAGCACCTATTTTTAAATCTTAGTCGTCATCCCAATGAACTCATTCCTTAAGCTTTTCTTTCTCCCATTCAATCACTTGACACTACCAACCAATCACCAAGTATATAATTTCACATAAACCCCTAAATTTCTAATTCATAACAAAATAACAATTAATCATTCAAAGCATTAAACTACTTGTAATATGAGTGAGTTCACACTTACCCATCATTGTCACAATGTTCAATCAATCATCAATTATATATACCAAACATCAAATGAATACAAATCATTCAATTGCATAATTTAAAATCCTAGGGTTCTAAGCACACAATTTCACCAATTCAATATATAATCATCCTAAGTTTTGTGGTGAGTTGAAGTGACACTTACATGAGTATCTTTGATGCTTAGTTTCACTTGATCCTTGCAAAATCTTCCCTTCTTCTTCTTCTTCTTGGTTTCGTCCAAGGTTCCTTTCCTTGTCTTTCCTCGTGTTTGCTTCCTTAGGTCTTCTAATAAGATTTTATGGGTGGTTTAGTGTTGATTTTGGGTGGAATTTGGGTAGAATTAGCTTAATTTCTTCTATCTTTCCCTTCCTTCCTTAGCATTTCTTCTTCTTTTTCTCTTGACATTTGGTCGAATGTTCTAGCCCAAAATTTAGCTTCTATACTAAATTTTTAGAGCAAAAATTCCAGCAAAATGGGTAGGTGTAATGGCCTTCTATTTTATTAAAAATTTTCACTTTGGTCCTTGACTTATATAATTCAATTCAATCACACCCTTTCAATTCTACTTCCTCACTTTTAATTACAACAATCCAGCCCTCACTTAAGATAATTTCCAAATTAATATTGATCTCTTGACTCTCACAATTATTTAAATTAAATAGCTAAACCTTTAACCTTTACAATTTCCTCCCTAAAAATAATTCAATTAAATATCAAAAATTCATTATCTCATAAATTGATCATCCATGCTTACCAAATAAATTCACAATTATTTCCTCCTTCCATACATACATATATAATTACTTAGAAAGTTTTTGGTCAATGATATTACATAGCCCTCATCGGAAAACTCATATTCTTCATCAACGGAGTTGTGTTTCTTATCTATCTCCTGCTTTTATTAGCATTAACCGAGTCAAAATGTGCCTCTCTATTTGTATTTCCACTATCTTTCCCAACATTTGTACCCAGTACCCTTTTCTCCACCTTTTGGTCTTCTCCTTCTACTTACTTTTCTAATATTTTTAGAAACTTGCTCCATTCTTTCTCTAACATCTACTCCATCAACGTTAACATTTTCAACACTTGTTTCCATACTCACATTCTCCTTATAGACTCCAACATCAATAACATCGGTATTCATATCAACTCCCTCCATATTCACACCTTTAGCATTCATATTTCCACTATTATTTATATTCACTTCATTGACATTCCCCACTGTAGTAGCCACTTGGGTCCAAAGTCTCACTCAACTCTAATAAATCATGCTCGTTTCTTCCGAGTTGTTGCCTTTATCTTTTAGGTGATATCACACACAATGGAATACCAATGTCATTGTCTTTTATATGTATTAGCACCTCCTCGAGGTCCAAGTAACGATAATATTTGAAGACACTAATCAAATCCTCGTCACTTGCAATTGATCTTCCACAATTAGCAACCAGATTGACAAAGTCGAATGAGGAGAGAAATACTTGTACACATCCGTTAGCAAATTTAGGTAGCAATACCTTTACGTATCCACATCAAAGTATTTCACATTTTCTAAATCAATGTGAAGATCTATCTTCACGATATGGTACTTCATTGCATTAAAGATTCATTAAGTTAGATAACTAATAATCAAGAACGAATAAGCAATATTAAAAAAATTTACAAACCCTTAATTTTGCAAACCTTAGATATACAAATAATCAAAATTGCAATAAATAAAACAAAAATTTGAATCATTCTATCAAACATTAACATATTACATAAAACCACATTTTATTTTTTGAAACCCATTCCCTAAAACATATGAAAAATCCTAATCAACAACTCACATTAACCATCCAAAATTAATAAAGAAAAGTTAAAACTAACCTTAACAAGTCAACTAGAGTTTCGATTATGCAATTGAAAAAGAGATTTGTTACTTGTGAAAATTGAGTAAGATCAACTTAGAAAGAAACAAAAAGATTGAGGGAGATTGAGAGAAAGCACAAGAAATTGAGTAAGAATACATATGACAAAAATATGACAAAAATAGATATGAAGATTAAATGCAAAAATTTTTGAGAGTTGAAAGAGTATTTTTGTTTCATGTTTAAGACAAAGATAAGGAGAGAGATGAATGAAATGATTGTTTGTTTTGGGATGGGTTTATACATTAAAGGAGCATTTTTGATATTAACTTTAAATTAGATGGTTTCATAAAAAATTTCAATGTAGAAGATTAAATGACTAATTTTTGAAACTAAAAAGACTAATTAATTTGTTTATTTAAACGAGAGGAACTAATTTATATTCTACTCTAACTGTGAACCGCATTAATTTACTTTTGATAGTTTATTTTGGGCTCAAACAAGGTTTTGAAAACCACCAATCACAAGCAAGTAAATAAACGAATAAAGCAAATATATATATAACACATATGATTGGTAGTCACAAAATAAGAAAAAACAACTTTTCGTGTTTCCCAAGAAAAACCACCGACTTTCGTTCCGCATATAAATAGTTATTCACACACGGAGACGGATTAACAGAGTCGTATTTGAAGGCACAAACAACCCTACCAACTACCTTCTGGTGCGTTTTCTTTTTCTCTTCAAAATTCCTCTATGTTCTGCGTCAATTTTTTTTTTTTTTTTTTTTGTATTTCTTGCTCGTGAGTTTCTAATGTACTTTTTATAAGCTGTTTATTAATATATTGTATTCATCGAGGTTGTTTTTTCCTTTTCTGTTATTTTATTTTATTTTATTTAGAGAACTGACGACAGTTTGTCTGCTGGTTTGATCAAGTTTTACATATCAAGGAACTGAAAATTAATTGCTAGTTTCTGTGTTTTCTTGGGTCTGTTTGGATTTAAATTACTTACTTGGATTCTGGGATAAAACGTTCAAGTTCTTAATTTTATTATTCAGTTTAATGTTTATGATTTATTGTATACTTCATCAAAGGCAGAGTCTTAATTAATTAGAGGGACATATAAATATTGAGTCAAATTAATTGTAATTAAACAAAATTATTTGTCTAGTGAATATGTTTCTTCAGTTATTGGACTCTCTCTCTCTCTCTCTCTATATGTGTATATATATATATATTGGTTAAAAGATTATTGAAATAATTGGTTCTTGTTCAGTTTTTGTTCCTGCTGTACTAGATAAAAATAATCAATTACCTTTTTGTTTTTTTTTTTTTTTTTATAGCATGAAAATATAATGCAAAAATATTCGGTCAATTATAGCCTATGCACATTAGTCTGCACCTTTTAAACATAAAACTTAAACCCCTTGTTATTTGGTTGAAAATTTTGTTTTTGAGGATTTTCTATCATGTTTGAAGTGTAAACATGTTCTTTCTAAGTTGTGTATGGTCGTACTTTTTATATTAGGAAGCTTTCCTCTTCTCTCTTATCAGTTTGGCTTATAGTTGGCTAATAGTTTTAAGTTTACTTCTTTTTCTGCAGTTAGATTCACACATTCAAATGGCAACTAGTCGAGTAGGTAGTGAGAGGATTGAGATATGGAAAATGAAGAGGCTAATCAAAGAATTGGATGCTGTGAGAGGCAGTGGCACCAGCATGATTTCCAAGGGATCAGATTTCTAAAGTTTCAAAAATGCTGGGCAAGGAATTGTGAACCGCGGCCAACATCAAGAGTAGGGGGAACCGCAAGTCTCTGCAGGATGCAATTACTTCTGTCCTGCAAAAGCTTAAACTTTACACTCAGGTTCCCACCAATGGACTGGTCCTATACTCTGGATCCGTTGTAACTGATGATGGAAAAGAAACGAAGTTTACTCTTGACCTTGTACCTTTTAAGCCTATCAGTCAGTCTCTCTACCTCTGCGACAAGAAGTTCCATACAGAAGCATTGCATGAACTCCTGGACTCCAATGACAAGTTCGGATTTATTGTTATTGATGGGCATGGGACTCTCTTGGGACATTAAGTGGCAACAGCCAAGTGGTACTTAGTAAGTTAACTGTTGACCTCCCAAAGAAACATGGTAGAGGTGGTCAATCAGCTCTCTGCTTTGATCGTCTTAGGACAGAAAGTTGCCAAAACTATGTCAGGAAGGTAGCAGAACTTGCTACAAAGCATTTTATAGATCCTAGGACGAACCTTCCCAATGTTGCTGGATTAATACTTGCCGGTTCTGCTGACTTTAAGATAGAGCTGAGCCGATCTAACTTGTTTGATCTTCGCCTACAGGCTAAAGTATTAAAAGTTGTAGATGTTTCATGTGGCAGAGAAAATGGTTTCAATCAAGCCATTGAGTTGTCCTTAGAGATGCTATCTAATGTTAAGTTCGTTCAGGAGAAGTGCTTGATTGGGAAGTTCTTGGAAGAAGTCAGTCAGGATAGTGGAAAGTTTGTGTATGGCTTGGATGATACCATGAAGGTTCTGGAGATGAGTGCCATTCAGACACTGATTATCTGGGAAGATTTGGATATAAATCGGTACATGCTGAAAAACACCAAGACAGATGAGAGTATTATAAAGCATTTAAATAAGGAGCAAGAGGGTGACCAGAGCAACTTTCACGATTCAACTACCTCATCTGACTTGGAGGTTCAAGATAAAAAGTCTCTTCTGGAATGGTTTGCAGATGAGCACCAGCAATTCGGTTGCTCACTTGAGACTGTCACAGGTAACTCTGAGGAAGGATCACATTTTTGTATAGGATATGGTGGCATTGGAGGAATCCTTCGCTATCAGTTGGACATTAGATCACTTGATGAACCAGAAATTTATGAAGACTCTGAGTAAGCGTCCATCAAGGAACTAATTTTCATTGCTTCCGTCTGCAATCTCTTTATTGTGATGCCAGTGATATAAATTGAAGCTTCTATTAGCTTCTTCTTTAAGATAGATTTTTTTTTTCATGCTTTGTGATGTAGCACAGCTAGTTGAAGAGCTTATGGAGTAATTTAAGAGTGTCAAAGTCTAAATAAAAACCTTAATGCTTGAATTTATGGGATTTATGTTTTTATGTCTTGGATACTTATCTATGTTTTGTTTAACTTCATTATATGTTCTTGAGAATCTTCTCTTCTCGATGAAGCTTCCATCTCCTTCGTCGCTAGTTTACATAAATGAATGAACCACATTGGTGACAGTTGAAATTTCTAGCTGAACTGTTTTGAATTTTAAATCGGTCATGTGCGTTTTTAGTCAGCTTGGTTGGAAGTTGCTCCAGCGTAGATTCTTGATTTGTTAATTACTATTTGTGCTACAAGCTTTTTTGGACCTTGTCTGCGAGGGTAGCGGCACTTGATGCTGATTCAAGCTTGGAATTCTGGTGTGGGACTGTAGGGAGGAATTTCTTGGGATCTTTTGGTTCTCTCTTTGCAGTATTCAACAAGTTTGGTTGTATTTTGTAGTGCCTTTGCATTGCATGTGGATGGTTTTGATAAGGCAAAAACATCAAAAGACAGCACTTTTGCAAAGACATGAACTAAGCACATACTTTGTTTAATTTGGTTTGTGGTTCAAAGATGGAGCAGGGATTGCTCGCAATCGCCTATTCACTATCCTGTTTGATCTCTTATTTAGTGATGTTTATCTACCCTCATGTTGCTCGGAAGATGGTTGGAATCAGGAAGAGTTTTTATTGCTGCCAAAGTTCTGATGTTGCTACAACAATGCTAGTGGATTGACAAACTCAAATTGGTTTTATTTCTGATAAAATTTGGTTTATGCCTTGATAAGTCCAGCCTTAGAAAAATTGGTTTGTGATTTATTTTATGCCTTGATAAGTACAGCCTTAGAAAATTGGTTTGTGCTTTTTTTTTTTTTTTTTCCTTGGCATCCTGAGGATTTGCGAGGCTCATTAAGCTCATTGCTGGATGGCTGCCAGTTTTAAAATCTTCTTCTTGATTGCTCTTCAATCCATCACCGCAGCCAAAATTCTTTTTATCTCCCAAATCCATCCTCTTTTCTTCAATCTCATCACCTCCCCCAAAATTGAATATTTGCCTCTTTTCTTCAATTTCACCATCTCCACCAAAAATTGAGTATTTGCTGTTTTGCATCATTGATCTACTGACAAAAATCTATACGTGACTCGTTGTAGGCTTGCAACTTGCTTAATTCTGATTACCTTGGACTAGGGCCTAACCTCAAAGGGCCATAAGCTTGGACCACGTTTGTCCTTCCTTAAGTTCAGCGTCCTCCAATTTAAGCCCAGTTTTACTTGGGCCGTAAGCCATTTTTCTATTGTAAAAGGCCTAAACCATTTTGATATTTCTATGATCGATGATCAATTTTTTATTAGACACGAAAGAATTAAACAGCAGTAAATAAAACAAACAATAGACCTTTTCTTCTTGAATTTGTCCCGTGGTCTTTATGAAATGTCAAATATAGAACAATATATATATATATATATATATATATATATATATATATATATATGAGAGAGAGAGAGAGAGAGGGCTTATGATATGACCTTGAAAATTGGATGGACCGTCTGGCAGGTCGCTTTAGGCTTAAGTCATCCAGTATGTAATTGCTGGTCTTAGTCAAAAGGGAATATGGTTGTGTAAGTCAGCGACAACCCTAAGCAATTGGCCGGTTGAAAGTCAGACCCACTACCTATAACCTATCTCCATGATTATTTGATTATATGACAAAATACCATATATAGTGACATTTTGAATTCTACCCCCTCCCATCCAACTCGATCGTCTCATTTGAATATAAATTCAAATTGATGTAATAAATCTAGTACTTAGTTAAATGTTTTGGGTTTAATTTCTATTCATAGATGCATTGTTAAACTCACACATACAAATATAGCTCGGTATAATTTCTTTGCCACTGATTAAACTAACCTTAAAAGGCCTTACTTTTTAGGATAGAAGGAAGGTTGTGATCCATCTTATGTTAATCATCTGTCCACTAGTTGATGTGATATCAGCGAACCTTTAAATTTTTAGTTATGTTTAGTTAGATTTCCAAGAAAAAAAAAAAAGTTGGACTTGTTCCACTTGTAATTCGTGCAACAAAAGCCACCAGAATGAAGTGAGCTCCAGTCATTGTAAGAATCTCTCCAATAATGTCGGTAACGTGCCCAGTCATCATCATAATCAGCTTGCAAATTATTGTCCTTCTTCTTCTTCAAATATATATATATATATATATATATATATATAACTGAAAGCCAGTATTCAACCATTCTATCGTGTTTCGTGCGCGACAAATAGAAATCATTCAAATAGCAGTCCATGACAAACCACCGAACCCCATCCTGAAAAAAAAAAAAAAAAAAAACACAAGAAGAGCTAACATTGCTCCATACATGCTGAATACTCGGTACGGTGGATCCTATTGAATATTGTCACAGATAAGATCATATATTGAATTGAGTTATATTTGTAAAGATCGGATAACTATAAACAATATAAGCCACCAAAATGACTTATTATTTGAAAATTGCGTGGAATAATAAATTGTGAGCTATCAACTGGACCTACAGATCCCATTTCAACTCTTAGCTATATAGAATATAAAAATGGGACAAGAAAAAACTCACCAAAAATATATATAAATTGTGAGATTAGTAAAACTTAAAATTAAATCACACTTCAAGATTATGATCAACCGGTACATATACTTAAAAAAAAATTAATAAATAGCGATGAACATAAAGTTGGTATACATCAACAGATTTGTGATGAAAATTGAGATTGATAGCAACGAGACTACGGCTAATTAACGATAGAAAAACATCATAAATTTTTTTGCGGTTATACCAACGATGGATTGCCAATCGATTTGCAACCATTTTTAATGACAGATTAGATTTCATTGCTAATCAACGGGAAAATGGCAATACATTTAGTGACGAATTACTTTTCTTTGTCATTTAAAGAAAAAATGACGAGTATATCTAGCGATGGATTATTTTTCATTGCTAACTAAAGGAAAAATAGATGTATATTTAGTGACATATTACCTACCATTGTTAATTAAGGGAAAAATAACATTACATTTAGTGAAGGATTAGGTTTCGTTGCTAATTAAAGGGAAAATGATAATATATTTAGCGACGGATTGCATTTTGTCGTTATTTAAAGGAAAAATGGTAGTACATTTATTTACGTATTACTTTCGTCTCTAATTAAAAAAATGATAGTACATTTAACGACGGACTACTTTCTCGTCAAAAATTAAAGAAACAATGACGAGTATATTTAGTGACAAAATTTTGAAACATAAAAAAAATCCATTAATTTGGTTGTTTCTTCTTCTTAATTTTCTTCTCCTCCCTTGCTCTAGCCACCCTTTTCCCCTTTCTTTCTTCCTTCGATGACCTCCTTTGTCAATCATGCCCCTCCTCCTCCTTCAACTTTTGCTTTCCAACTTCTCCAATAAGTATTTGTTTTTTTATTCAATATTAACTAGTATTTTATTTTTATTTTTTTAGGGTGGATCTCCGATGGTTGCTTTTTTTTTTTTTTTTTTCCCCATGGTAACTCCTTCTTCCAAGTACATTTTTAGTTTATTTATTTTTTAATTTTCCGTTAATGATATTTATTATTATTTTTTTATTAGTTATTATTTGTAATTTAATGTATGTTCTTTGATGCTAATTATTATTGTTAATTAGTTATGTTAATATAAGTTAATTTATGCTACTTAATTAGTTGGAATTTTTTGTATTTTTTTCTTATTTTTAATAACAAATTTACATTTTTTATTATTTGTATTTCTATTAGTTAGTTAGTTGTAATTAGTTGTTTCCTATCATATACTTATTTATGTCGGGTAGTAAATGTAATAATCTAATAGTAATCAATATTTTTATTAGTCGATAGTTAGTTGTAATTATTAATTTTATTACTTTTTTCTTTAGAAAAAAAGGATTTTTTTATTTGTTTTTTTTGGGGGTTAATTAATTAATGTGGCATATTTAATTTATCACTTTTATGTTGTAGCACCGATATTCGCGGTAAAACTCTAGGCATTGCAATCTTCTCTTCGGATGATATTTCTATCCGTCCGAATTGTTTATTTATTCATTTTTTTAATTTGATTTATAGTTATTATGTTAATTATATTTTATGTGATTTAAGTATAGTTATAGTTAAATATTACATTTACAAAATTTTGAAGTGTTTGGTCAACGATTAGGGTGACACTTCGGGGATATGATGTTGTAGGAAAATTTATTGAGAACATATAAGGTCGGTGTCAATACTTCGTGATGGAGTTGAGAGGATAGGAATAATGCTATCTTTTTTAATTTTTTATCCAAGATAAAGTCGATCTCGGTGTAATATAATTGATTGTTTGCGTGGCTTGTTTATGAATTGTTTAGTGTACTCTATAAAATGATAAATTAGAATACTTTAGATTCATTTGCGTTTGATATTACTAAGCGAGAACGACTATAAGGAACTGTCGTGCATGTGTTGTGTATTTTAGATGTATTTTTTTTGTAAAATAGGTGGAGTCTTCTGTAATTGAGAAATGTCTAATTTACGGAAAAGACTTTACCAAAATTTTGTTAGATTTAAAAAAAAAATAAAATCTTTAAATTATGTCCTCTTTATAATTGGGAAATATGATAATTAAGTAATTGTGTGTGGGCTCAAATATGCGAAGGAAAAAAATAAGGCCGGATCGTGCATGAATTAACTTTAGATAGATATAGATGATGTAACAAGCTGTTACGGAAGATGCAAACGCACATTGACCCGCCCATCCCTCCTCCTTGCCTCGCCATTATCCGAGCAACCATAGGATGATGATAATGATTATAT